TATTTCATCCTGATCGTATAAACAAATTAAGTCGGCCTATTTCTTGGGTTCAAACTGAGCAAAAGTTAAATAAATCAATCAAGACAATTTATGCTAATTAGTTTCACAATAACTTCCTGCCGCAGTCGATGTTCATGAAACTCTTACCGTCCGCTTACCTTTAAATAATTTCAGCAGTCACTGTAAACTGGGCGATGTGATAAAATAAATAATTTTATTGAGCATCATTCCAAGGAATAAATATGTTGTCATGGTAACCGTACGCACGGCTTAATTTGTTCCCGATGTCTGAGTGAGTCACACATCTGCCATCTGTTGTGAGCTTCCAAACATTGCTTGTAATATATTGATGAGTCGTAGGCAGGAAACAGAGAGCAAAATTATACAATAAAATGACCTACATACTAGTAGAAACTTTATCTTCAATTGTAATATATTGATGAGTCGTAGGCAGGCAAGAGAAAACAAAAATATACAGTAAAATGACGTACATACTAATAGAAACTTTATCTTCAAATAAAATTATTGTTTCCCTCAATTAAAATGATTGTATTGTTCGTTAGTGGAAATTTATAAACAAGTAATAAATTATTTCAATACTTCTAGTCACCGAAACAATTTCTGATACATTTTATCTCTCTTTAAATTTAGAATCCAGTCTGAAAAAGCAGGCAGATCTTCTGCACCTAATCTCTTCCTATCGAAAACGCCCAATTTGCCATACTCACCCTAATCACTCAGTTGAATATGCCCAAATGTTAGTAATCATTAGTTGTTCAAATCTTAACTCTCTTTTTCCAAGGTTACGTAAAATTAAATGACCAGCTTCATTTCCAATGAAAGGTTTTTTGACCTCCTATCATTTCTTCAAAGCTTAACGGAAGTTAACCACGCGTCACCACTCCCATCCTTTTCAATAGCTTGACATGGTAAAATTTTTATTGAAAAACTTGGAGCAGAAGAGCTTGAACCTACTTTCCTCCCATGCCTTAAGATTGCCTGTAAATTAATCTTTGTACAGTGAATATATCTTTTCTGAATATCGTACTTGCACTGGTATGAAAACCATAGCAGAGCCGAAAATGGACTTCTTTGTATGTATTGTCATTTCATTGCGATTATTTCTAGAGTAAAAATTCAGTATAAAAATTATAATCCTACAGTCCATGTTTTCAACTCAAGTTTTGAATCCAGCAAATAAAAACACAAACATCGCATAATACTAGTTTGAGTTACTAGTACTAGTTTGAGTGATGGCTGCTAAAGTGAATTTAGAACCTAAAAGTTTTCGATTTTCATTTCATCTAGCTGAAAGGGGCAACGGGATGAAAAGTCCACATGATATCACATTATTGGCGTCGGTAAAGCCTCTGTTTGGTTGATGAGACAAGCGATGTTTGAGCAGGTGTGACGGTGTTGCTGGCAATGTGTATCTTCTCAGAAATGGTGAATGATACCTTACCACAGTCTTCAGAACTGCCACTCATAGGTACTTGCACTTCTTCCTTTTCTATTTCTGGCTAGCTCGATCATTCGAAGACTGCATATACTCATACTTTTGATTGGCCATTTTTGAGAGCATTTGATTCCTATAGCGAATGACAAAGTTACGGGCGCTTGAATAATTCCACCGCATAGATGCCCTTGCCTCTACCATATAAATCTCCTTACTTCCTCTATGACACTGGATGATTCATCACTAAAGGCATCATACCACTTTTTGAACTTGGTGCTGCGCAACAGAGCACTGAGATCACGCATACTTACCTATAATGCCTGAGACCGTTATCATCTTCTAGCTCTTGCTTCTTCCACACTCCGGCCTACATTTTCTGTCGGATTGTGTCAGGTTTCTATCACAAAATGCAAGCGCTACATTCCAGCTATGAGAAATCCTCATTTGCGTGCGAGCTTCCATTTCTATTCGCAGGCAACACATGTAAATAAGTTAAAACGATTGCCCACAAAAAGTCAATTTATTTCGAAGAATTTCTTTGCTCAATATTTATTGATCGATCAATGTTTGAGAAGTATACAGATGATGGTGATGTGTGGCGTCTCTCGTTTGTCGTATTCTGTAATGTGGAGTGTTCACTTTTTGTTTCTTTGTTTCCTTTTTAAAATTTCGGTATTTCCGTTTATCTTCAGTCTGATTTCTAGTTTTCATCTATATAAGCTTCCTTGGACTGCTTTCAATTATCTGGACATGCGAGAGTCCCAACTATATACTTGAGTACTTTCTATTGCTTCCATGCACATTTTTTAACTTTGTGTTGGGAAATTCTTTGCATTGATCTGTGCACATAGTCCCTTTGTCAGAAGTATATGGCAGCGATCAATACCGTTTATTGGCCTCCTGAAGTTTGCAATGAACTTGCCGTCGTAAAAGTTACATTGGGCTGTGCATGCAACGAGCGTCTTACGACCTTGTCCACGACGAAGCATGCGCCAGCACTACGCCAATATCTTTCTACTCCAATCATTAAATCTGTCAGAAATTTCGGCGCCGACATGTAAACCTTACCTCTGTCTTCGAAGCTGGCGTAACAATCCCAAAAATCAAATTCGCTCTGATTGGTATCACATTTACTATACTGCCACGATACGCAACTTCTCAAGAGTTATGAGTGCTATACATTTGTGATACGCCTACTGCATCCCGACTCAATTTTCCAGTTAACAGATCGGATCATTTCTCGAGGGAAGAATAAGCAAAGGTGATGCGGCTGTCATTTAAGTTCCTAAAATTTATTCACCAAAAATATGAAACTGCTTCATAGAAATCGACAGTTGATCATAATCTTGCTCAACCTTGAGTGATAGCTGCATCATCATCGCTAAAGCATGTCTCTCTGCTACGTTTTGGAGATGTGAACGACTGGGATCGAAATTCACTAGTTTTATCAATGATTTTTTTTTTCAGATTTTAGCGGTTTAGGTATCATGCATTCATAACATTGAAGCTGGAGGGTGCGCTATGCAAACTGTAGCAGCTACCTGAAGGCTCTAATTCGCTTAACTAATATAATCTAATAAATATTAAGCTTACTAACTATTCTATGTGGATTACAGCGTCTGCGAGTGTGTAGCGCCTCTAACAGAAAATATGAACAAAATACTAACTCAATATATAAACAAATGACACATCATTCGATCGAACCATCCATCTGTAATTTTCATTCATTTCTCATCAAAGCATAATATTTTTAATATTTATCTTATACATATATTATATTATACACTCAGCTCCACCGCTGAACCGCGCATATACACGATTACTATGCTAAATTATATAAAAACATAATATTCGTTATCTATCATAAAAAACTGGAAGTAAACCGAACATCCTTTAACATAAATTTCCATAAAAATACAAGTGAAATCAAATTCTGAGACTCTCCTTCTCAGGCCTCCAAGTATCGATGGCTGAGCTTAAAGAGAACTAATATTCGTAACCTAAACTTATAACTGGTACCCTTCCATCGAATTATTCAAGTTGAAACCGACAGCTCTAAATAATATCAAAAAACCTGTATCGATACGTTCCCTGTAGCAACCTCCTATAATAGCCGTTGTAACTCGTGTTTTCCTTCGTTTCTAACAACCTTAAGACTGTCGTACATAATGTGGATTAAATTCAAGTTGTTTAAACGAATAAAGAATGCAGGTTTGAATTCGTCTGAAGTGATTCGGGTCAATCTACGATTGAAAAAAAATCGGGCCTGAAAATAGTTTACTAAGTTTGACTTTCAGTCTTCGGAGTTCAAACTATAATTAAAATTAAAATTTTATCTCTAAAGTGGCTGAATTTACAACTAAATGAGAAACTTACTGAACTTAATGAAAAAATTCCAATTTTAAAATAATTCTATTCAATTTTATTCTGAAGTATTTAACTCGTAGATTAATGCATGAAAATTTGTTCAATCCCTTCTGCCTGATTTTTTTAAAACCCCAAGTGTATATATCGGACTGAACATATTGGTTCCTGGAGATAATAAGAGCACCTGTAAAAAATTGTTTTATATCAATAAAATAAGCCAGATTATCTGAAAGCCGAGTCTTGCTTAAGCAACAACAGTAAATACCGTGTAACTGCTTTCAGTCTGGTATGTTTTGTGTCACTTAAACTCATGAAAAGTGCATGCGCTTGTAGAAATTGTGATGCTTGGAAGCATGAAGTCATATATGTTGTGTATTACGTAAGGTCCGCTTAATTATATGTATTATTAATCTTGATATGCTCAGCAACTTTGACGCATCGAGTTTTATTGGTTAGAATTGAAGTACTTCGATCGGAATAACTATGTACACAGTGAGGAATATAACGCTTTTGAATAGAAAAAACATCAACGACGGATACGAATTCAATATAAATGATCTCATAAGTATACTTTAATTTTTTAATCAATTCTTTAATACCCGATTTTTTGCATGAAACCCAATCTGTTTATCATTACTTCTGTCTATGATGAACGGCAATGTAATTAACTTAATTTACATTCCTCTCACTCCTCTCAACAACGAGGCAAGCCCCAGCTCATAGACTTTGCACTGCTCGTGTTTTGTGCACTTCATGTCTCGTAGCTGCTCGATGTCTTCGTTGTGTCGTATATATATATAATTATATATATATAATTCAAGCTTACGCCATAGGATTTATATCAATTCTGTCTTTACTGCGAAAGTATGTGTTTGTCCTCACAAGCTTTATTCTTGCATAACGTAGATGTAATAGGCAACAAATAATTTTACGAAGAGTCCTTTAAAACACGCAAAGAAGCAGCGTATTGGTAAACTTCTAATTCAATACTTGCTTGTAGTTTCCTTGTGGATCTGCAGAAGTTTGTACGGGAATCGAAGGTATAATTAGATGGAGTTTTAATAATGGGGTAATAACACTTAATTATTATCTCGATGCGTCCAAGTTGCATAAAATAATATCCATACAAGTTGGTCTAATATTTTTTTTCTTCTGTCCGGTCTCCGCGTTAACGCAGGCACGTATTTCAACTGCATCATGTTCATGGTGGCATCAAGTGTCGTTAGCACCGTACTTATTCTCAACTACCATCACCGGTCTGCCGACACGCATGAAATGTCACCCATGGTGAGTATTTACCTCGTATTTTAATATTATACCGTACTTATACTCAACTACCATCACCGGTCTGCCGACACGCATGAAATGTCACCCATGGTGAGTATTAACCTCGTATTTTATTATTATACCGTACTTATACTCAACTACCATCACCGATCTGCTGACACGCATGAAATGTCACCCATGGTGAGTATTTACCTCGTATTATAATATTATACCGTACTTATACTCAACTACCATCACCGGTCTGCCGACACGCATGAAATGTCACCCATGGTGAGTATTTACATCGTATTTTATTATTATTTCGCTTCACTATCTAGAGAAAGTTCCCTCATTATTAATGGAGTTTAAATGTCACCACAAAACATCGTTTGTTTTAAAAGTACAAATACCAAATCCAGGGGAAAGTTTCAATCACTTTTATAAAAGTTGGTATGAAGTGGTATGAACTTATTGAAGGAAGTCGCCTTTTCTTAGAGAAGTAAAAGTCAATAATTTATTGAATGCAAGAGTTTAAGTCAATCTCCCTCTGATAATAAGGTTAGAAAATCAAATTCATTCATATTCAATAGTACTAGCTATATGTGAATTCATTTCCAAAACTATCTTGTGCATGAATGTTATCATTTATAACAAATTTGAGCAGGTGACTGAATAGATATTCGAGTTTCAAAGAAAAACAAACTGCTGGTTATTGGTTCCGACGAAATAAAACTCGACCATGAAATTTAATTATCACAGTTTCAAATTTATCGCATGCAAATATAGGCATTTCTATTCACGCTAACGGAGGCAGATTCTGGGCGCGAGTAGACGAAGGCTGGCGAGCGGCGTAGCACCGGCAGATCGCCTTTAAGAGCGCAGCGCGACTGTTGCAGTGCTGCGCACGACTGTTGCAGTGCTGCGCACGACTGTTGCAGTGCTGCGCGCACCGTGCATTTTTTATTCATTGTGCATATTCATTCATTCATTATCGACTGTTGCACCGTGCATTTTGTATTCATTGTCTTTGATTGTCGATATTTCGGCCCCGGAAGCGCGCTAATTAAATAATATATTCTTCAGCTAAATTTTCATCACCGTTATAAGGAAATATTTTTCTTTTTATTATTATAATATTTATAATTTTGTCTATGAATTAAACTTCTACACTGCCTAAGACTATGTACAATTTTTTTACTATAATGTATTGTAATTCAAATTACTATATTTTAACACCCCTGACATTTGATAACAGCTTTGCTTCATGGCTAAAAGGACTTGCACAATAGTTTGCGGCTTTTTATCATAAAATTAATTTTATTATGATTAATAATTTTGCATTTTTTCATGATATCATAGTTTGATTCCAACATATATAATTGTATATTATTATACATTTAAATCACTTATAACATATAATAATATAGTTAACCATATTCTACTGGTTGCTTAATATTATTATACATTTAAATAATTTATAACATATAATAATATAGTTAACCATATTCTATTGGTTGCTTAATATTATTATATATTTAAATAATTTATAACATATAATAATATAGTTAACCATATTCTATTGGTTGCTTAACATTATTATATATTCAAATAATTTATAACATATAATAATATAGTAAACATTATTCTATTGTTGCTTAATATTATTATATATTCAAATAATTTATAACATATAATAATATAGTAAACATTATTCTATTGTTGCTTAATATTATTATATATTCAAATAATTTATAACATATAATAATATAGTAAACATTATTCTATTGTTGCTTAATATTATTATATATTCAAATAATTTATAACATATAATAATATAGTTAACCATATTCTATTGGTTGATTAATATTATTATATATTTAAATAATTTATAACATAATAATATAGTTAACCATATTCTACTGGTTGCTTAATATGAAATATCTTGCAGGTGAGAAGCATGTTCCTGCAATGGCTGCCGTGGGTGCTCAGGATGCATCGTCCTGGGGAGAAGATCACGAGGAAGACGATCATGATGAACAACAAGATGAAGGAGCTCGAGCTCAAGGTGGGTAATAAATAAACTGTAGGTATATAATTATCTTTCATAGCATGAAATCACGAGGAAGACGATCATGATGAACAACAAGATGAAGGAGCTCGAGCTCAAGGTGGGCAATAAATAAACTGTAGTTACATAATTATCATTCATAGCATGAAATCACTAGGAAGACGATCATGATGAACAATAAGATGAAGGAGCTCGAGCTCAAGGTGGGTAATAAATAAACTGTAGTTACATTATTATCTTTCATAGCATGAAATGGACTCGGAAAAAGCGAATAATAATTTAAGACACAGTTATTTTCGCGGGCTTGATTGAAAAATAAACTGTAGTTACATAATTATCTTTCATAGCATGAAATGAACTCGGGAAAAGCGAATAATAATTTAAGACACAGTTATTTTCGTGGGCGTGATTGAATGTTAAATGAATTTGGTTTAACAAACTAAGTCATACCGATGAATCCAATGAAGTTATCCACCGTTAGTATCACTGTTATCTTACGTGACACCGTACTTGTTATCTTAGGTGAACGTGCATATCTTACGATATGCACGTTCTTTCATTGATATTTACTTGGATATTTCCCTCCTGAATTCAAGCCCATGTCCAATAACCTATCATGTTTACTTAACTGACTCCAAACATAGTACATTTTTCTGTACGGATGAATAAACTTATTTCATATACTCATTAAACTAACGAACCTAACAATATTTATTTTTCGTAACACCCTGACCTTATATTCAGCTTTCATTTCGATCACAGTGTCCTCAATCGTTTACTTAACTGACTCCAAACATAGGTGATTTTTCTGTACGGATGAATAAACTTTATATAATATACTCATTAAACTAACGAACCTAATAACATTTATTTTTCGTAACACCCTGACATTATATACTATTAAACTAATGAACCTAATAACATTTATTTTTCGTAACACCCTGACATTATATACAGCTTTCATTTCGATCACAGTGTCCTCCATCGTTTACTTAACTGACTCCAAACATAGTTGATTTTTCTGTACGGATGAATAAACTTTATATCATATACTCATTAAACTAATGAACCTAATAACATTTATTTTTCGTAACACCCTGGCATTATATACAGCTTTCATTTCGATCACAGTGTCCTCCATCGTTTACTAAACTAACTCTAAACATAGGTAATTTTTCTTTACGGATGAATAAACTTTATATCATATAGACATTAAACTAATGAACCTAATAACATTTATTTTTCGTAACACCCTGACATTATGTACAGCTTTCATTTCGATCACAGTGTCCTCCATCGTTCCAGGAACGATCATCCAAGTCGCTGTTGGCGAACGTGCTGGACATTGACGACGACTTTCGGGCTCACACTCTGCCCCATCCCGGGCATACGACCAACAACAGCACCTCGGTGGGGGGTATCATGCGCATCCCGCATACCGGGCACTCCGTAGACGATACACACCTGGTGCATACCTGCATGTCGCAGTGTACCAGAGAGCTCAACCTTATCCTTAAAGAAATTAAAGTTATAACAGACAAGCTCAGGAAAGATGATGAAGAATACGAGGTGAGTATTCTGAGGTCTACTCATATTATCTATTAAAATGGTGATTAATAAGGACATTGCGCAATTCTTCTATGTAAACGATTTTTGATGAACAAGCATTTTGCAATCGAATGTTCTCTTGTATTATGACTATATGTGGCAAATATCCAATGTATTCAAATCAGATATAATAATATAAATAAAGTTCAGTGATGACACGATTTATCGTTTTTCAGGTCACGAACGACTGGAGATTCGCGGCGATGGTCGTAGATCGTATGTGCCTGATCGTGTTTACGCTCTTCACAGTGACCGCTACCGTCGCTGTGCTCCTTTCGGCACCGCACATCATGGTTCCATAATAATGAGCCTCCGCGCAGAATTATTTTCTCTTCGGCATCTTATACGTTTTCTGGTTTATGCGAAGCGACGTTGTCTCTTCGGCACTTTCTCAGATCGCTGCATTATGTGAAGAATCTCATTCTTCAAGCAACTTCATCGACAGAAAATAATATTGAAGCAATCTCGCTTCTTCTACGAAGTATCCTTCAGAAAGCTAACCTCAATTCTTGCTGAGAGAAATGTTCCATCTGTTTGCATCAGAACCTGAACTTTGTTTGATAATTCAAGAAGAATCTCTGTATATGTGTACCCAATAAAAAATTATCGTCAAGCAATATTTATCACTTCATGGCTATGAAGTGATGGTAATTCAACAAACAACGACGTTGAGTTTAGAAAAGACTTGTATAGATCCTTCTAGAAATTCATTTCCATTTATCATCCTGATTCACCAGCACTTGACTTAATAAGAAACGGCCCAATTGGCAAAGAATTACCACCCCTTTTTTGGGATTCTATACATCTTTTGTTTTGGGAAGATTGATGTGCGTAAGAAGTTTGACAAGTTTTGGAAACATTCATGAGGTCTTATCAAGTTTCGATAGAATCGATACGCATCAGTAGGAGCTCAACGATTTATTTGGATAATAGAAACAGATTTTACACTCGATAATGGCATATAATAGCAGGACGTTTTTGCTAACGGCTTGTTAATGCATTGAATCTCCAGCCTTCACGATGACTGTATCGAAAAATTCTGTTGTTTTAAATAATGAAAACGATCAAGTTGAACATCATTAATGGAATAGGGAAATCTGAGTTTCTGGCGATTAGAAAAAACGAAGAAGTTTAAAATAGAATTCGAAGTTACTGTTTAGAACCTAGACCAATGTTAATATTTTTGAATAATTTTTTGATACCCAATGACAATACTTTCGTTGCTTGGCTACTTCAGTCATGCTGGTCTAGTGGTATATACTACGCGTGTCCTAAGGAGTTCTCAAAATTATCCAACTTTTGGAGAAAGGTCGCCCAAGATGCTTGTATGACTATCGTTAAAAATGTTTTTTTTGAGATGTTTTCGAAGTTCAAATCGGGTATAAATTTAAAGATTTATTTTGCGTCACATAATTACGATGAATTTTGAAATAAATTGCAGACTTTAAGTTTTGAAGATTGAATAAAATAATTTACCATGTTTATTGGTAATTATAGTATTGATGAGCTTCAGATCTCATGTATGAGTGAAATCGACGAGTAAATCGTTAATGTAGAGTGTTACATAAGGAACAGAAAAAAATGCGAATTTACAGATTTTTCAACAGAGAACGGCTGGAGTATACGGAAGCTCCCCTCATTATATCATTCAATGAAATAAGTGCTCCTAAATCTTCGCCAGCGCGAACTTGGATCGTGTCGACGAGATAACTTATTATCAAGAACCTGTTCACTTTGCTCAGCGTCTTCAATACTTTAGGTCCATTTTATTCTAGACTAACAACTTCTTTATTGTCCAGGATAGTTTAGAGTTCATCCTTTGTCTCAAGCCTTTAGAAATGAGTCTTAAACGACAATGCAAACAATATCTAGCTTGTAAGGAACTCTCATATCTCGAATATTGTACTGACCTCTTACTTAGAAGTCCCCTGTTTATCTTCACCCTAGCGCGCGGTTTTCTGCCAACCCCTCTAAATTTCATTCTATCAGCAGGGTTCTGTGAGAGCAAGGTTCATTCAAGAATGTGGCCCCATAAATATATTATAATATTTGTCTTTCAAACGGAAAAATATTTAATAAATAGATATTTCCTCCCTGCATGAGAAAATATATTTTGTTTTTTAACTTGGTCGTGAGAGATCGGAAGCACGTGGTTCATGGCCAACGGTGCCTCAAAATGTTTTATACGATGCTCACAATGTTAAAATGGTACTGGTTAACAGAAAAAATAAATGCATCATATAAAATGATTATTGTTTTTGAATACTGAACGTAAATATGAATTTGAAATGCTTTCAAGTAATTGAATGAGTTTTGGTGAGATTGCACGTTGTTTTTACATTGCTTTCATCGAGAAGACAGTGAACGTCCTAGACAACTGATTCTAAAACTCGACTTGAAAGAAATGAGGGCAAACATTAATACGAACATAATTTCGCCTAGAGTTAGCTAGAATGATTATAGAATGATGTTTGAAGTATCTTAGGCTTATACCTGCTACTTACTTTAGGAACAAGGAGCTCGAATCCATTAACCACACGGTTGATGGTCGGAATTAATCTATAGTTCGTTTCTAGATTTATCCCTATGTACTTTCAGAGGCGCTTTTATAGCTTTAAATAAATAACTTGATCGTGCTTCAACGTCCCAAATTAGAAGGAAATGCGTGGAATGTCTACCACTGAGTTTTTATTGCCGGATGATGAAACATAAACTGGATTGATCTCTTAGATTAAATGCACTCTGTAGGGAGAATGTCTATGCTGTTTCCAAAAAAGAAAAGCTACAATGAATTTTGAAAAGAATTATTCCCATGTGAGGACCTTGTTATAAAATAGAAATGCTAGAACCCTTCCTTAATCCCTGGAACGTAAGAAGATGGTCACATTTTTCGAAAAGCCATTGCGCAAAAAGTTTCCAAAACTCAAGTGCTCAAGCCAATCTTTGAAGCACACATGTGCTGATCAGGCTTTACTGTTCGGAACAAGGCTTAAGAAGAATTTCAATTGAGAAAGCATTTGAGAATTTGATTGCTTGTAGCCCGTCAGTGAGTCAAGTTGGAGATTTGGAATGCTTATAGGACACGCGCTTTGGGATCCCACACAGAGGCAGGGAAGGTTCCTTGATGAACGTTTTTCTATATCCTCGAGGACAATCTCCTTCACTATGGACTAGAGTTAAGAAAGCTGTTACATAGATATAGGCAGAACTGGAGTATTAAGCTCACCTGACCTTATGGATTTATAAATATATATATTGAAATATACTATATGCATTATTTATATGGAGTGAGAAGTTTTGCGTTGTTGTTGCTGTTGTACGATTAATTTTGTCAAGGATGTTTAAGTGGATGTAATTTTTATAAGATGGGTTATCGTGAATTTTGGATGTGAATATCTTGATATGAATATGTATAGACCAGAATCCCCTCGTTTGACCACTCCTCCTATACTCTACACGTCTTCAAGTAGTTGTTACACCCTGTGTAGGATTCTTGAGTTTCCTCTTCGCGTTAATATTCATAATAAAAACTTTCATCTTACGATAGAATTTAGCTGTATGTATTATTAAAAACTTCGCATCGATCCTGCGCTCATTTTTGTACGCATTTGATATGAAGATGCGAAGATATTCAGAGAGGCAGGGATTATGCAGATGACGTTCGAGACGAAAACATCAAACTATTACTCCTTCTTATTCAATTTCTGAACCTGAAAGTAAATTACAATGCGATTTGAGAATTATACCTAACGTGACATGTGTTGTAAGCTATCATGGATTAGTCACCCTGATGCATTCGTCACTTTGTTTCAAGAAGATTGAAATTTCAACGTTTTGAGTATTTGGATTCTGGACACTCTATTTCCCAAGTGTTGTGACCCAAGTTTGTGTTACCACATTTTGCCAATTCCTACATTCGTGTCAAACCTTTGGCATTATTTCGAGTGTACTCCTAAATTTAACTGTCACCCAAGTTTGTTCTTCTAGTTCGATATAACCTCTATGCGTTGATATATGTGAACTACTTACCCGAAAAATATAGATTTTCCGACTTATAGGTTTTGTTTGTTTGTATATTCGTAATATTCAAATAAGTTCCAAAAATCGGAAAAAATATAATAGAAATTATGTTGTCTTCAAACAGTCGCTATTCTAGAAATAAATAACCTTGTGCTTCACGACATCAACCAAAGCACAACTGAAGCATTTTTTGTCGACCTTCATTTCATTTTTCAAATTGGTGGACATCCCATAATGTTTTAGTATAAATCCAATTTATTTAATTATCTCAATTTATCGAAATTCTAATTATCTAATTTATGTAATTAGATATAATTTATCTGAAGGCCGTTCAAATTGGGCTTAATGCAATCTAGACTTGAATGAAGCATTCCAAGGACTGTTTTATAAGGTTAACTAAAAAGTTCTGGATAGGCTCTCCCTATATGTCATCTACTTGTAATGGGAGCTTGCAACTGAATTTGCTCAACGTAGTAAAGAGAACGCCGTGCAGAGGGACTTTAGATCACTTATATCAGATGGCGTTACGAAATAAATGCACATAGACGACACCGGTGAAAGTTTCCAGTCTGGTGAGGAATTTAGTAGACTCGACTTGCACAATAAGACGAGTAGGAGATGAATGATCTGATGCCCAGGCTGAGGACAAATAGGTACAATTTGGGGGTAACAAACAACTGTTTTCATTGAGTTTAAAATATACTTCTCTTTCAGAAGAGATTAGAATGATTCTGAACTCAGTGTTCAGGACACATTTCCGGCATTTGGTGATAACATCACGGTTTCAAGCTGCAAAATCACAAATCGTAATAATTTTTAAGTTTGTTTTCATTATTCCCTGGAAACAACATTGTTTCACTGGGCACATTTTATAGCCGAGTAATAAACCCTTTAGAATATTGTTTGAATTTCTGCATTAATTTTTCGACGTATGCTTCGGAATTCATCGCGGTAGAAATATTTAATTTAATCATCTAATTTCATATATTAATTTCACATCGATGATTTTATGCGTAAGTTTCCCTTCCACTAGTCGAACTTTGAAGTCTCAGGTACCTATTAACTTGATCTGCTTCTTACAAAGTATCTTAAAATGCCTAGAAATTTTGTTCATCTTTCTATAAATAAGTGATAGAGCATATTCTTCCAACATAACAATTAATGGTCACTCAGGTGACAAAAGGCCGGGCATAGTACAGATGCGACAAACATGAGCATAGGACTTTAGTCTTCGCCAATATTCTGCCGAATTCATTTTATTCACACTTTTGTCTTAGTTTGAGCGTTCGACATCAGACTGTCTGTTCATGAAGTTATTGACATAAGATCATCAGAGTATGAAATGTTATCAATACACGTAATGTGATGTGTCGACTTTCCAGAGCCCTCGTGGTTTCTCAATCTTTAACCAATATTTAATAAATTCTGAACCACAGAAGTTCTATAAAATTATGATATTTTGCGCAGTAAATGGTTTTGGGCTTTTTGTTTTTTTTTTGGTTTCTTTTTTTAATTTTTCTTTTTTTTTTTTATTTTTCCCATTTGATTTTTTTTTATTTGTTGCTTATTTGTTTTTATTTTTGGAGCGATATTAACCGTATAAGGTTGTGAAAATGTTATTGATCAAGAGATTCCTTGCTAGAAAATACCTCTCTGATCTCAAGTTGCACAATGTTAACAAAAACAGGTTATACACTCGCAATATTCCACATGTTGAACATGATTGATACGATACAATTAACAGAATGTAGGTATTCGTATTAACTGCCACATGTAGTGCCGTGCAAATGCTTGTCACGTTTGTTCTACGCCGGCATGCATATCGAACTCAACCAGCAACCCCATTGATATTTGTTGCACCGATGAAACTTCAGTTGTTGTCTATGAGAGTCGCGCCCCGGCTGAGGCCATTGATATGGACTCTATCTTGTACTTCAAGTTCTCAATAAATCGCTGAATTTTAAAGAAAAATTATTAGTATCCTTCTGTATTTTTAAGCCTCGGTGAAAAAGATACAATTTGAAGAAATGAGAGTTTTCAGATTGTGGAATTTCGGAAATTGTACACAAATCCTCGCTGATCAGACGTGACGTTTCATTTTTATTTTAGAATGAATTTCTGTATAATTCATTTTCGTCGAAAAATATTCGTCTAGTATTTCCGATTAGGTTTTTTTTTAAAGTTGCGCAGGTGTTCATAAATTTAGAACGTAACAAAAACACTTAAACAACATTTTGATTAAAAAAAGAAGATAGGCTTTTCATTTTTTTATTATTCAGTGATTGACGCAGCTTTAAAATTTCTTAATTTATATGGAAATTAATTGTTCAATTTTGTTTTGATTCGTTTTATGAATCAATATACCTCAGATCCTATAAGTAATCTATAGATAAATTATATTAGGGATATATTCGTACTACGTTTTTTTTACTTTAATTAGCCACGGGCATTAAAAAGAAGCGACTACGAGTCAACTAACTAGGAATTTGTGCTGTTTTTACTTTGCACCAAATAAATTATGAACAGCTTCACGTTTTAAAAGAGGATTCACCGTCATTTGCTTCTAGTAAAAATCATGTAGTTACTTTTTAAATAGACTTCTTGAAGAGAAACACATAATTAATTTTTTTTAAATAAGTAGAATAATTATTCACACTGATGGATATCATGCGGGATATCCTGGCTATGTCCACCGCATGGACATTGGTGCCCGCTGCTTGAATATTAGTGTCCAACTCGCGGACAATTGTTTCCACGGATCGGAAATTTGTTTGCACTGGTTGGACATTTGTATCCGATGGATGGACATTTTTATCAAACGATCGGACATTTGTGTCAATCAGTCGGACATTTGTGTCCATCGTTCAGACATTTGTGTCCAACGGTCTAACATTGTTATCCGCCGGCTGGAAAATTGTTTGCACCGGTACGACAATATCTTTAAATGGTCATGTCAGGCCGCGGTTACTTCCGTATCTGATGCACGCGATTCAACAGACACTCACATGACTTTTGCAATTTGAATGCAGTGATAAATAATCAACATAATGCGTCTTTAAAGGTTCCTTCATTTTAACGAGCGTTGTTAATATGACTAAAGTAAACTGGTTTTCTTAAACTCAACCGCATTTCTATGACTTTCTAACCTTTACATAGAGTGGGAACAAATTTTTTTCTGGTGGATTCTGGTCGCTGCGAAATTGGAATAAGACTCTTGCATCTAATTACAGACTCTAATTAATTATATACCTCTAATAAGACTTTCGAGTAATAATTTAAATAGTGTATAACTATAGATCAGCTGAATATGAAGTTATCCTACAATCCGGACCTGGATCAGGACCGCAAAAATCTCCACCAGGCAGTGTGTGGAAAAAGTGTTGGTGCGTCCAGTTGAGTCGGTGTGTCAAGTTTACGTCGATACGATGGCACGCAGAGCGCCTGCGCAGAGGCTGCCTTCGTCGGCTGCTGCAGTTGCTCACGAGGTCTATCGGAGGGCGGTAGCCTCACTCCGACAATCTCTAAATTGAGCATTTCTTATTGTATTTATTTTATCGTAATGTGGTTTGTCAATAACAAAACGTATAGTAGTCGTTAGTCATGTACAGTCTGAGCACTCAGATACAGCAGAGACAATCTTGTGAAGTACCCGTTTAGTTCTTTTATTAACAAATGTAAATGATGTTGAGTATTAGCAGAAAAACCGCGCATTGTTACTTGGAGGCCATGATTTTGTAGTGGAGGCATTGTTAAGCATTTATAAAGCCTTCAACTCGGCCAAGCCTTGCAGAAGGAAACACAAGTCAAGATGGCGGCCGGGACATCTATTCTTTTGACGAGCTGCCTGCTTCTCTTCAGCGTCTCGAAAACTGGTAGGAAAACAATACAACTCAAACAACTAATCCATAAAAATTTAATTTATGATCTTTCTTCCAGAGAGTCGAATTTTTTAAATGAAATTTGTACGAAAGAATATCAAAATAACACATTGGAAAGCTGACAAGTCTGGCTTAGGTGCCAACATTTTGGCGATAAAACATCTGCCTAATGCGCTGCCTTGAAACTTGGTGGCAAGTTTCCGCTACCACTTAGAGGCAATCTATACGATGTCACGGAGATGCAATCTTTTGTCGGCCAGCTGATGTGACGTCTATACGATGTCAGTCGAGAGACAATCTTTCGTCGGCCAGCTGATGTGACGTCTATACGATGTCAGCCGAGAGACAATCTTTCGTCGGCCTGCTGATGTGTCGTCTATATTACGTCGGCATATGTTTCAGACTATAGTGGAAATATACTGTAAATGTATAAACTTGGTTTGCAATTGTGATAGCTGTTCACACTGAGTTAATGCCTATTTCTCTAAATCACACTTTGCACATAAAATATTTTCAACAAGTTACAAGTAACAAAATTTAGACTTTACAAATTTTTGTGGGGGCTAATGGGCTAATTTTTTTTGGGGGGGGGGGGCAAAACGTCTTTTCATTGCAAAGCTCCAGGTTTTGGAGGAATTATCGAAATTTATTTTTGAAATTTCATCCTCAAGTTTTGATCCCTTCTTAAAATGTAAATCACCTACTTTTAGCTATAAATCCTATAATTTGTTACAAGTCTTTGTATTTAAGATACAACAGATGAGATAACATCAAGGTTTAAGATAATAGCAATTTGATTATAAATAAAAACAGCATGACGTTAACTTAATGGAAAATTTCACTCCATAGGCGCATCTGGACTATAGCTAAAAAATTAACTGCCGCGTAAACATCGGTAGTAAGAAGATTGGAACTGAACTGAACTGAAACTTAAGATCTAAGCGCAAATTCTACGAAGGGAATGAGTGAAATTACAATTACAGTCATCGGTAAGGAGCGATACGTTCTTTTGCGTTGTTAGCATGCAATACGGTGTAGGACCTAAATTCGCAGTAGCGGATTGCTCTTTGATCGTCAGATTTTGTAGTGCCGAGTGACCACGTTTCTCTGTCACCAGCACTGTTATGCAGGGTTCAGTTCCTATAGAAAAATACTCTGGGTTTTCACACAAATATGTCATTGAACGAAAATGTACAATTGCGTTGTGCCTCAGTTGTACACTCATGTACAGTTGTACACTCGTGTACAGTTGTACACTCATGTACAGTTGTACACTCATGTACAGTTGTACACTCATGTACAGTTTGTACACTCATGTACAGTTGTACACACATGTACAGTTGTACACTCATGTACGTTTTACACTCATGTACAGTTTACACTCATGTACGTTTTACACTCATGTACAGTTTGCACTCATGTACAGTTGTACACTTATGTACAGTTGTACACTCATGTACAGTTGTACACACATGTACAGTTGCACACTCCACTCATGTACAGTTGCACACTCATGTACAGTTGTACACTCATGTACAGTTGTACACTCATGTACAGTTGTACACTCATGTTTTCTCGTACATACTAATATACAGTTTGTACAGTCATGAACAATAATATTTTATTTATCAAATTTCCTCGACGCTTCACAAAATTCTGAAATATTTGACGCTCGTCGAAAAGATATTTCAATAAACACAATTTCGAGTAGTAGCTGATGGTGAGCAATGTTCATTTCAAAATATATAAAAAGGTTTATCAATAACGTGACTAAGCCCGTATATTTGAACAACATCCCTACCATTAAAAGTTCGAATGTTTTACAAGCTTTATTTTACTACAAGTTTACTAAAATGTTATACAAGCTGTTACTAAAAGCTTTACTACTTACTACTAAACTGGATAGAATAAAACGCTGGTCAAACCGCAGTCTCACGAAGCGCTAAAGTCTAAATGTGGCTGTGGCCACTATTTTTGCTGAATCTGAAAGCATATTCCCATACTTCCTGTTGTTGCATGTGCATGAGGAGATTATAGATTATCTCAAATGGCTTGGAAACAACACTGTCATTCCCGCATACATTTTGCATAGGTAAAAAATAGAGCATAAATTGAGTCGACTGGAACTCAAATAATACCACCTTTTTTTAGCAGGCTTGTCTTTGTTATGGCGATTCAGCAATTCGGCGAGGAATTTTATCAACGTAGTTTAAATATTAATCAGAAATAAAAATGAACAACCTTTTCACCATAGCCGATCAATATTCACTCCTGATAGCAATAGCGTTTTAACGAAGATGAAAAAATGGACATGTTTGCCAAGGCAAATTAAGACGTCAAGTTCCGCAGTAAATTTTTTTAGATGAAAAAAATTTATGCATCGAAAAGTCATGCATTATAAATAGAGGCTTGAAGGAAATCCGACACTAATATCACTTACATTTTATTGTTCCTTCTGACGTAAATAGTTCTTGTCTCAGCAAACTATGATCGGTTTTATGAAAAAAATTATGCTGCCGACTCGTACAAATTGCGTCCTTACAAATTTCGTTTCGCATTCAAACTTTCCTGTATCATAAGTAATTCTTTCGAACGTAAAATACTAAGAAAATGGTAATAAAATTCACCATATATTAATAGAAAATTTGATCGATAGGTTGTCACAGTAAACGAATACTCCATTCAGCATTCGCAAGGCTTTTGCTTTGATGGAGGAGCGGATCTCCGAGATCTTTACAATGAAAAAATGGCGAATGTGTTTGCCAATTCGCCAATGGCGAATGTGTTTGCCAACTGATGACGAGAGTGTCAACATACGGGCTAAGTAATTAATTAATGGATTGGCAGTTTGCGGCAGAGAAATCTCCCAGCCACTGCTTGCTTGCTTGATGTGTGCTAAAGAAAGTTGAGAACAAAGGCTTGTGCTCCCGATAGTCAACAAACCAATACAATGAACATAAAATTACCAGAATATCTTAGTGAGCCCTCGCTTGTATCTCCCGTTGTTGTGTGTGTGTGCAGTGTGCGGCAGTGAGGACGAGGAGAGGCTGGTCCCAATGAACGTGAAATTACCAGAATATTTTAGTGAGGCCTCGCTTGTATCTCCCGTTGTTGTGTGTGTGTGCAGTGTGCGGCAGTGAGGACGAGGAGAGGCTGGTCCAATGAACATGAAATTACCAGAATATCTTAGTTAGCCCTCGCTTGTATCCCCCGTTGTTGTGCGTGTGCAGTGTGTGGCAGTGAGGACGAGGAGAGGCTGGTCCAATGAACGTGAAATTACCAGAATATCTTAGTTAGCCCTCGTTTGTATCCCCCGTTGTTGTGCATGTGCAGTGTGTGGCAGTGAGGACGAGGAGAGGCTGATCCAATGAACATGAAATTACCAGAATATCTTAGTTAGCCCTCGCTTGTATCCCCCGTTGTTGTGCGTGTGCAGTGTGCGGCAGTGAGGACGAGGAGAGGCTGGTCCGGGATTTGTTCCGCGGATACAACAAACTCATCCGCCCCGTCGAGAACATGACGCACAGAGTGGATGTGGCCTTCGGGCTCGCCTTCATCCAGCTCATCAATGTTGTGAGTTATTATCTATATAATCCTAACATTTCATGACTTTTTGTGAAAACTAAAATCATCTAGAATCACACGTTGTGCTCAAAATAAATACGTGTGTGTTGGCCAGGTTCCGTTGTGGTCTGAATATTTTCCCAAATAATTTAATGCAAGTTTAGTAGAGAAATGGATCGTCAATTGATTCTAAATCCATTTTCCCAATCTGCTAACTAGTTTTATATATTATTTTGCTCATTTCATTTAATACATGTAATATCCACTTAAAATTTTGTTTTTTGTTTTCCAGAACGAAAAAAATCAGATCATGAAATCGAACGTTTGGTTGAGACTGGTGAGTACAAATGGTTTTATTTTAATTATACCATTATTACTGCGTAATAATGCACTTAATAATAAAGCACTCAATAATAATTTAAGTAATTTTTGCACATGAATTTTTGAGTAACAATTTAGCCTTTAGGTCAAATCGAAGGCTGAATTTAGAATTTCAAAATTGTAATTTAGCTTGAAATATCATTTACATCTCAATAATATTTATATTAAGAGTATGTAGCTTATATTTATAGCATACGTAGAATAAGCCCGTAACTGGACGTACAGTTCCTTCGAAACTCACACACCATCTTTATAAATGTGAATCATGATGGAATAATCTTACACGTGAGTATATACGTACGTAGTATAGAATAGAATAAGTTAATTGTTGTAAGAGCACTTAAGGCCTTGTATCTTGAAAAATAAATTTCCGCTCGATATTGAGGGAAAACTTCAATAAAAAAACCGCAAGTTCTGGCCGTGGATTGATGGATGTTTCTCCCACTTGTAATTAACGTTCAGTCCGGCACCTGGCAACGCAAATTTCGTTCTTTACGGCCCATAGAAGTTCAGCGCTATTTCGTAAAATTCAAATGCGAACGAAAAATTACTATATAACTAATTTAATTATTGTTTATTGCGCTAAATTGCCAGTTACATTAGTGGTCTAATGAATTATTCTTGATCAAGAATGTTTTATTTATTGTTGAGGGATTGAAAATTTTTCCTAGTTATACACATAGGTGGGACATAGGTGGGACATAGGTGGGATTACGATTTTAATTTAGGTTTTGCATGATGGTATTTGATTACTAAAATCACTTGTTTGCTTGAATGGCAAGTTAATCAGGAATTTAAAAGCAAAGAAAATACCACAAAAATTCACCATATCTTTATAAGAGAAAGCGTTTTGGAGTCCAGCTCCATCGTCAGTTCATAACACTTAAAATTCTGTTCAGAAAAAGTTCAGTCCTAGAAACACAAATAAGTCAATTAGTAAAGTAAAATGCATAGTCAGGTTTCAAAACAAAAATAAATAAATAAGACATGAAATTGAAGCTAGTAAACGGCCTATCTATTTACTATTTCAAGAGGAAAGGAGCTAAAAGCGGCATTAAGAGTAGGCTTCTGTTTGAATATATACAGGGATTCTAAAATTCGTAGATCACTAACACCGGATGCGGAAGCTAGAATTTTGAAATCACTATCAGATACAGAGGTGTTGCACTGCTCGGCATGAACACGTACAGCAGAATGAGGTGGATGTTCAAGTAGGTTCCCTGTTCTATAACTCCTGCCCTTATGCTCAGCTAGCCTAGTATAGAAATTGCGTGCCGTCATACCGACGTACGCTGATGCGCACTGCGCACAACTATATCTGTACACTAGTGACGATCGCATAAGAACAGGTAGGGTATCCAAGATATTTTAGATATTTAGATTTAGATTTATTTTTAGAAGATATTTAGCAAATAATACTTTTAATTCCTTTGACATAGTCTCAGATGCGGGTCCAAAGTAGGGAAAAGAACAGTAAACAACTTTCCTATTGTCACATTGGGAACGGCTGCAGTATATTGTTTTGACATGAACTTTTTAATTTGGGTGAACACCAGGTGCGATGGAAAGCCATTTTGTGAAAAGATATTGCGTAACAATTCAAATTCAGAGTGCATGGCTAGGAAATTAGAACAAATGCGAAAGCCGCGGTTTATCAATGTTTGGACCCCATTTAACTTGAAACGAAAGGAGCAAAATCTAAAAAAGCTGGTGCTTAAGCCGGTAAATTTCGATTTATTAAAAACAGAAGTTTGGAAACGGCCATTAGATTTGATAACTTAGCAATCAAGGAAAGACAAGGTATTGTCTGATTCCAGCTCCATGGTAAATTTGATATACTTATGTTGGAGATTAAGATAGTCAAAGAAAAGGCCCACATGTGAAGGATGCTTAAAAATCAGAAAGGTATCGTCAACATATTGGCTTTAGAAAATTGGCTTAAAATCAAGAGGGCAATTGGCCAACCATGTAGCCTTGTGAAAACACATGAATATATTGGCAAAGGTAGGGCCGAGTGGAAGTCCCATGCCCAAACCGTCAATTTGTCTGTAAAACTTGCCAGCAAATACGAAAATTGAGTTTAGTACAGATAATTCAAGGAGAGATTCGAAAAAATTGCGGTTAAAACCCATGACAAGGTCATTGACATCTTTAAACAATGAATTGAGACAAATATCGATGGTTTCAGAAATAGGTATTTTAGTAAATAAATTTTCTATATCAAAAGAGGCCATAGTCAATTCCTGAACATTGGTAAAGCTCTTTAGGCGATCTACGAACATATAAGTGTTATCCACAGTATATTGGTTGGTCATAGTTCAAAAAAAAAAGTTCAAAAGCGGAACCAAAAATTTTGCAAGTTTTAAACTAGGGGTATTATAAGCAGCAAAAATTGTGCGGAATTAAAATTTCACATTGAAATCTGGTTTATGAATTTTGGGCAGACCATACAAAATACCTGGGCCGTGGAAATATAATATAATAAATATTATATATTTGGTGAATCGTTTGAAAATTTCCTTCAAATGGCAAAAAATTGTTGATGCAAATTTCACGTTCCCAAGTTGAAATTAAATAGGTTTATTAGTGCAATAATGAAGTATTGCGACCAAGAAGTCATCTCAAATGATCTAAACATGATGTTATATCAGTTAACTAATGAAAACACGTCTACGTTAATATTGGTTTCCAGCTTCCTACATGACCTTCAATAAATTTCTTCCGCTTTAAACATTTTCTAACTCTTTTTCACTCTTCAAGAAAAATTTTTCCAAATTTTCAAAACGGAATTCGATAAGTAGAAGACGTACAGCTATTGGTTTAACGTAAAATAGCAATGAGTTAACGTACAGTCGAATTATTTCTTTCAAAGGCGGAATGGGCTAGCACCGTGGGAAGCGTTGTTAATATTAATATGAGAATAACGAGCAAGTTGCGAAGGTGGTTCCATCCATACAAGAACGCGCTCAGTTTCTAACCAAGAAGTTGGTTCGTGTGATTCATGGCATCTCTGAGCAGGAATTTGTTAAGGCTTGCTTAGTTCTGCAATAGAAGGAGTGGCATGTGCATTATTTATGTTCTAGGGTGCCGCGAGGAGGCCGAGCGAAACGGACACCGTATTTAAACCACACAGTATACCGTACACCGTATTTGCACCTCACAGTGAACCGTTAACCGTATTTGCCCCAAAAAGCGAATAGTACACCGTAATCGCACTGCACATCCCACTGTACATCGATCGTATATGCTCTGCATAACAAACCGTTGACCGTATTCTCCCCACACAGCAAACCCAACACCAAATTTACTCAGCACAGGGAAAGGTACGCTGTA